CAGTGCATCAAGAGCCACCACACACAGACGGATCCTGGACATGGGCTTCAAATGTCGTATTCCTCTTGTCAAGCCACTCCTGAACAACAAACAACGTCAGAAGCGTCTTACCTGGGCTAAAGAAAAACAGACCTGGTCTGTTGCTCAGTGGTCCAAAGTCCTCTTTTCTGATGAGAGCAAATTTTGCATCTCATTTGGAACCCAAGGACCCAGAGTATGGAGGAAGAATGGAGAGGCACACACTGCAAGATGCTTGAAGTCCAGTGTGAAGTTTCCACAGTCTGTTTTGATTTGGGGAGCCATGTCATCTGCTGGTGTTGGTCCACTGTGCTTCATTAAGTCCAGGGTCAACGCAGCCGTCTACCAGGAGATATTGGAGCACTTCATGCTTCCTTCCGCAGACAAGCTCTATGGGGATGCGGACTTTTCCAGCAGGACTTGGCACCTGCCCACACTGCCAAAAGCACCAAAACCTGGTTCAATGACCGTGGGATTACTAAGCTTGATTGGCCAGCAAACTCGCCTGACCTGAACCCCATAGAGAATCTATGGGCCATTGCCAAGAGAAAGATGAGAGACATGAGACCGAACAATGCAGAAGAGCTGAAGGCCGCTATTGAAGCATCCTGGTCTTCCATAACACCTCAGCAGTGCCACAGGCTGATAGCTTCCATGCCACGCCGCATTGAGGCAGTAATTGCTGCAAAAGGGGCCCAAACCAAGTACTGAGTACATATGCATGCTTATACTTTTCAGAGGTCCGATATTGTTCTATGTACAATCCTTGTTTTATTGATTGCATGTAATATTCTAATTTTCTGAGATTGTGGATTTGGGGTTTTCATGAGCTGTAAGCCATAATCATCACAATTATGACAAATCACGGCTTGAACTATCTTGCTTTTGCATGTAATGAGTCTCTCTCATATATTAGTTTCACCTTTTAAGTTGCATTAGTGAAATAAATGAACTTTTGCACGATATTCTAATTATTCGAGTTTCACCTGTATATTAGTCCAGCATGGCACAATGTCAGTATAGTATGAATACTAGTATAGTGAAGTATAGATTAGAGGTGCACCAAAATGGAAATTTTAAAACCAAAACTTAAAAAAATGTCAGGCCGAAACCAATAATGTTTATTTTTTCAAATTTTTTTATATTTATTTTTTATAAACTTTTTAATTTGTTTATATTTATTTTTTAGATACTAGGTGTTCTCTAATTGGACTAGGGCTTTGACAACAAATAGGTTTTGAACTTAAACCGATATAACAAAATGCTTTTAATGGTATAGTGAGGAAATCAATGTGGAAGCAAATAAGAGACGTTCAATGTTAAAGTTATTTTCACGTATTAGCCTTTGTTAAACTTACTTAAGATACTGTTGAGTCTTCTGCATAAATTTTTCTGGCAGACCATCTTCATCATCATACTGTTCCATTGGTTCAACAATAACTGGCCGAGGAGTCCTGACAAAAAGAATATACTTACTGTGAATCAAGCCAACTATGTACCATTTCCTGGCAGAAGTAAAAATTCATTTCTGTAGGGATGATGAGCATTTATTGCTCGACCCCTTTTTTTATTTTATACTGCCATATTGCATCCTAACATCCACCATAAGTGATATGTATACCTGAAAACCTAGCTCTGTATGATCTTGTTATGCCTGCACGTGACACTTTATTCTGTTATTCTTTGACTAATGGTTTACCTGATTATTGCTCTTTGTCAGCAGTTATTCTTAAAAATATGTTCAAAATATTGAGGAACGAAGATTCCAGAAAAGGAGAAAAGTTGTGTACCCAAATAACCAATCTCACAAGAATATCCAAAGTAGCTAGAAATCTTACACAAGGCATCACAACTAAAGCACAAGGCTCAAATATTTGGTCCAACAGCTCCATCAAATGGGGGCCTAGAGCAGCAGGGGAGGGATCCACTTTAAAGGCATTCTACTTATTTTGACATGTTTTGACAGAGCCTACTTAGTCCTGAAGGTTTTTAAGTCCTGGAAACATGTTGACTGGCAGCCAGGAAGTCCTATACTGAACAACTACATGTACAGCTTTTCTGCCTCACACCTCGCTGGCTGCTAGAGCGACCAGGAGTCGGTTTACAAGGGTCCTGCCAACGACGATAAGCATAACATCAGTGGCAGCAAAACGAATAAAGGAACAAGTCAGGACTGAAATATATACACTGCCATTGCCAAATTATTTTCAAACAAATTTTCAGCTAAGTTTAAGAGAAACTCACATACCAGCTAAGGGCCTATCCAATAAGATTTAAATGACCAATGATACAGGACTGTCAACTGAGGCAGCTAAATACAATGCACATTTTTTGTCTACAATTTAACTTGCACTAATACTATAATGAGCTGCTACAATAATCAATGCCCAAAAAGTCACCGACAATACATTTCAGACATTGAGCCCTGCAGGTATAAGCCCAAATGGAAAAGAATCGGGTACTACATCCTACATTAGGGGAAGGCAAACAACAGCTGTGGTGAAAATACAATTCCCATCATGCATCTTCCTCTGGGAGTCATGCCTGTTAAGAGTCTTATGATGCCTAAGGCCCCATTCACACTGAGCGATTTATCGCGCAGATCGTGGATATTTACCGCGCGATATCGCTCTCCAATGCATGGCAATGGGGCTCTGTCCATCGATGTCGCAGGCCGTGCGTCGCTATAGCAGGACCTTTTTTGGAGCGGATTTTGCCGCGATTCTAGTTTGCTCAATGCAACCATTTGCGCGATATCGCGCAAAATGCAAATTGCGTGTAAACGCACGATTACCGAATCGCTCAGTGTGAATGGGGCCTAGTGGAATTTGAAGTAGCACCACAGCTGGAGGGCTGGAGTTTTCCTACCCGTCCTAGATCCTTTAGGGCCCATTCACACATGTACACTTAATCATCGCACCTGTTATGGACACCAATTCATAATGAATAAACTACCCTAGTGTGCAAAGTAACACACTCTAATGCAGCACAATTAATCGCTAAAGTGTAAATGGGTCCAAAAGTAAACCTGTCGCAAGAGAATATGGGGACACCCATTGCTGACAGTCTAAAAATGATAGTCAGCTATTACACTAACCCAGCAGCTTTATTTCAACAACCGTGCAATCCAGAAAAATCCGAAAATCCAGGAGGTTCTTACCTGCATAACTGCGGTAAAGTATTGGACCCAGGGGGCTAGCATGACAGCTAACCAACTAGAATTTTCAGAATGGGAACTCAGCAGTCCCCATGTTTCTATCATGACCCGCAGATTGCTCAACCAACCAGACAGGAAACCCAATCCGCAGAACAGTTTAGAATCAAATCATGAATAAAATATCAGTTAACTGCACCAGGTAGTAGACTTCATCATACCAGTGCACACCAGATCCAATAGCAAGTCTAAGTCTATAGCTGCCTGGTGCCAACCACCTCCTTTTTCAACATGAAGCGGCCTGGGCCTGCTGATAGTTAACTTAGGAACTAGGCGCTATATTTGTCTAATCCAGGAGCCAGCAGCACTGTTTTTTGAAAGCCAGCTCCGTTGACAACAGCTAGAGAAAACGTAAAAGTTAGGTGCCAGCTGTCATTTTAAAAGGCGCTTTGACTACCTGGATCCTGGAATTTGTCCAGCCCTGACACTATGCAACCATAAGCAAGGAGTGGGGCCTTCAACACCTGGTTTAAAACCCATTAAAAAATAAATAGGTAGATAAGCATGGTGTTAGACATGAAAACACCAACCCGAAGCAGCCCTGGAGGGATCTGTGTTCTGGGGGCTGTGATTTCTACCGGATAGGCAAAGCCATTGCTGGTGTAGTACTGTCCAGCAAGAGGACTCAGAAAATTATGAAAATAATAACTTAAAATGTTAATACAACAGCAACTCGAATATATGCTCCTTTAATATACACAAAGGTTTCACATACAATTAAAGAAAACCCCAAAACTTACGTTGTCAGTAAGAAAGCTCCTTCTGAACATCTCTCCATGGCTTTTCTTGCTGGAGGTTTGGCTGCAAACTCCACAAATCCTTTGCCAGTAGCTCTGCCACGGTCATCGACAATAACCACAGCTCTCTCGACTGGCCCAAACATGGAGAATGCTTCCTCGAGTAGCTCATTTGAAATAACAGGTGATAGATTCTTAACAGTTAGAGCTGCACCATGAGTAGCAAAACGGATGCGGAGGGGTCTGCTTTTCAGGACCATGCCATCAAGTTCTGCTTTCGCAATTTCGGCAAGAGTTCTGGATTCCTAGGAAAAGAAATGTTAGGATATAAATTTAGATTGAGCCTCCATGGGTCCAATTTGATAAGCAGCAACAACGGTTATTGCTGCTGCCCCTGTAAGGTAAAAGCTTTGACATGCTTGCAGGTATATTCTTTCTGCTGGTCCCATTGGCTGCTGGCCTTACTGACAATATTGCAGCTCTGTGAATCAGAGGAACAGATTGACTGTGTGAGGGGCACTCATTTGCTACCATGCCCGTCAAAGTAATGTGGCAATAAAACAGTGGCAAGGAGATCGCAAAGGGAGTATGCATTAGCTGAGCATTTCAATGCGGAAACCAAGTTTTTTAACCCTTTAACTGCTACCATCACTTTTTTAGAACATTTTCGTGTTGAAAACTGTCCGATCCTGGGACGCAAAAATCAGGAAAAGAGATCAAATACAATCTGTACTCAATCTGTTTAAGCCAAGTACAAAAGAGGCATTGGGGTAGGGACGCAACTAATCGACTAAATCGATCGATGATTGAAAAAGTTGTCAACGTTTTCAATCATCGATTAATCTCCTCCTCCCTGTCCCATGCTCGCCGCTGCCAGACCCGCCCGCATCCACACGCCGCACCTCCTCCCACATCCATGATTGGCACAGGGACACGGGGAAGACGTAAGGAGGAGCAGGCGTGGGGGGACGACAGCCACTGACAGACAGGCCGGATCTCAGAAGCAAGTTGTTGGAAGACTGCTCAGGTAAGCCTGCACTTTCCCACACATGGTGCTCTACAATGTATTGCTGGGATTTGGATTCCTCTATAGCTGATGGTACATTGTGCTGTACTGTATATTATACAGAGCAATGTACCATCAGCTATAGAGGAATACGAATCCCAGCAATACATTGTACACTATATCTATAATGTATTGCTGGGATTTGTTGGACTCCACTATAGCAGGTGGTATTCTGCATTGCGCTGTATAATGTATTATTGCTGGGATTTGTTGTATTTCTCTAAAACTGGCAGTATTTTGCATTGCGTTGTATAGAGGACTTACAAATCTCAGCAATAATACATTATACAGCGCAATGCGGAATTCTACCAGCTATAGAGTACAACAAATCCCAGCAATACATTATACAGTGGTGCAATGAAGAATACCACCAGCTATAGAGGACTACAAAACCCAGCAATAGTACATTATACAGCGCAATGCAGAATACCACCAGCTATAATGTACTATTGCTGGGATTGTAGTCCTCTGTAGCTGGTGGTATTCTGCATTGCGCTGTATAATGTACGATTGCTGGGATTTGTAGTCCTCTGTAGCCGGTGCCATTCTGCATTGATTGCTGTATAATTTTACACTTTACATTTCACTATATTGCACACCACACTGTGATGGACTACAATCTCAATACAAACTAGTAGTCCATTACTGGAGCCTTTTTTTTAAAATCCCGATTAACTGATTAAGCGAACTTAACAAATCGGCTAACTAATCGATTTTGAAAATAATCGTTAGCTGCAGCTCAAGTCATAGAGGTGCTTTATTGCTTGCCCATAAATCTGCACATGAGCAGTGTTTCCCGGACACACCCCTGGATCCTCCCATCAACACTGAATAAAATCTACAGGAGGACCGAGGGGAGCGCCCAGGGGAACACTGCGCATGTGCAGATTTATGGACAAGCAATACAGGAACTCCACACACATTCCAGTGTTGATGCGGGTGTGCTGCAAGTTCAGACCTGGTTACATACGATCATCAATGTATCAAAAATAAATAAATAGAGAAAGTAGTCATTAAAAGAACTATGGGGTAAGTGTTTGTCCCCATAGTTCTCTTCCGGGTCATGGGAGGACATATACTAGCCTCCTGCCGTGACCCAAAGCTCAGTATGTAGCGGGCTATTGGCTGCGATATACTGTGAGCACCGCACCCGGGACGGATCCCGACAATACTGTCCAGCAAGCTGCGTGAGTGACAGCTGGCTCTGCCTATCTAGATGCAGAGCCTGCTGTGCCCGTCCCCTCTCCCGTCCGTTTCTCCACTTAGCGCTGGAGGATCGGAGAGGGGAGGGGGTAAACCCTGTGGGGAGCGGTGAATGAGTCACCATTCACTGCAGGGAGACGATCGGTAAGTGAGCGGATCGGCGCATGTTTCTGCTCACTTCCAGATCTATAGAGCCGACCTGCGACAGCTTCTTTGTCACAGGTCGGCTCTAACTATGAGGATGAGTGGAAATCACTCACCTCATAGTTCTCCTTCACCCATTTCCCTGCCAAGGACGTACAGCATACGGCAGAACAAAAGTGTTCCCGGCTGGCCAGGTCAGTATGCCTGTCAGTTTCCGAATGACAGAGGCTCTGTGCGTGGCCGAACGGGGATCGATAAATATCATTGATATTTACCGATCCTCCTGTGCAGGGCAAACACTGAAGTGATCGTTTAATCACTCCGGTGTTTGTAAATAACTGACACATAGTACTATGGGTCGCCAGTTATGAATGAACAGGCTGTGATTTACATCACTTCCTGTTCATTCATGAATGGGGAGTAGCACTCACTACAGAGTATTGCAAAAATGGCGTGGGCAGCTGATTTGAAAAATGTTCCAGAGGGCTTCCAAAGGGTTAAGGATTGCAACATTGCTGTCAAAGTTCTGTGTTTACCTTTTATATAGAAAGTAGAATTGGTCTGTTAAATTCTCAGTTTGAAAGCTACACAAAGCCTTTATAGGTATTGTTATGAGCTCTTTAATCAATTGAGCCCCAAGTTCTTTTTCTCCCTAAATCCCTGCGAGGCACAAAGCTTTCTCCATTTTCCCCAATGTCTCAGCTCAACACATTGCACCTTCTACTATTTATAGGATAACCTAAAATACTTTACATCCTATAGAGCATTGGATAGCAAGGTCAGAAGATCGCTTCTACTACTGGGGTTAGCAGTGGAGTAACTTTAGTTACTCCACTGCTAACCCCAGGAGCTGAAGCTGGGGTTTGGAGGACATTCCTGGCCACATATAAATGCATATAATCTTAGATGGAATCATTCAAAACTTGGCATTTACACGAGTTTAGGTGCGTTTGGTTTAGGTGCGTTTGGTTTAGCTGCGTTGAGAGAAAATTGAATATTCAGCACATCCAGGATCTGAAACTCACTGCGCATACACAGCTAAACGTACATACTTCTGAACGCCAGAGAAAAGTCAAATAAAGTTAAAAAGTTAAATAGGCTAAACACAGGAGTGCTTGTGTGAATGTAGCCTAATGCACATGGCAAAGGAAATATTGAGGTGGTTTTTCTGAACGAGTTGGCAAACCGCACACAGATTGCATAAATATTCATTCCAGTTATCTGAACAAATGAAAAGCAAATTTTCTGTTTACATCCTCTGCACGATTGGATAATTAAAAAGAATGTTCACACAATTTATTCTAAACTCTTTATAAATCAGCCTTAAGGTGCCCATACACAGTGCGATTATCGCACGATAATCGTGGGAAATCCCGCGATCGTACGATAATCGTAAAGTGCATGGAAGGCGTGCGACCGTTTTTACTGTACGGTCGCACGTCTTTTGTCTTAGGAGCATGCTAGAAAACCAGCCAAAAATCGTACGATTTTCGGCTGGTTTTTAGCATGATCTTAAGATCAATGCCCCACTGGCCGGTGTGCGCACGCGCACACTGCCCGTTCAGCATTGCGGTCATCTCAAGCCCGCCCCTCAGGGGGGCGGGCTTGAGATGATCGCAAGTACGATCTGCCTGTCCAAGATGGGCAGAGCGTACGTTTTTTTAATTACTTTACAACCATCGCAAGACTAAAGTCTTGCGATGGTTGTAATGTGTATGGGCACCTTTAGTGTATCCTAGTTACAGAATATACGAATTCCTCCTTTTTTGTTCTTTCACTTGCCTTTTCTTTTTCTGCATTTATATGCTGACTGAGCTGTCCAGCAAAAGATGTGTTACAGGGGTTGGGGAAAACCATATAGCCCTGCTTGTGGTGCTTACAGTGGTCAAGTATAATGTGTCAAATTCTGAGGTTATAAGTTTCACACTTTATTATGAAGCCTTAAAGTAGAACAATGAGGTGAGTGCGTTTCACTCGCCTCATAGTTCTAGCCGACCTGTGACAATGAGATAATAAACGTCAGTCAAAGTACCGCAGCGCTGAATACTGAAAAATGGCCTGGCCAGGAAGGGGGTCTAAACACCTGGTCTTGAAGTGGTTAAACCTCTGATAAGTCTCAGATCTAATTGTTTTCATTCTTCTTCATGGATTATTGTTAAAGTGACACTAAACTCAGGAGTTAAATCTCAAAAACTCCTTCAAGTACCTTAACCAGTTGACATCCGCGGTGTTAAACCCCCTTCCCATCCAGGCCATTTTTCAGTATTCAGCGCTGCGGTACTTTAACTGACATTTATTCCGTCATGCAGCGCTGTACTGAAATGAATTTTATACCCTTTTTTGGGGACAGATAGAGCTTTCTTTTGGTGGTATTTATTCACCACTGGGGGTTTTATTTTTTTACTATATTAAAGGAAAAATTACCGAAATTTTATAAAAAAAACAGTTTCCCCTATATTAAATGATAAAACATTTATTATTACCCAATTTTTTGGTAAAATATAAAAGACGGGGTCACGTCGGGTAAAAAGACACTAAACATGTCAAGCCTTAAAATTGCGTGCGCGCGCGAAACCTCAAAAAACGATAATACCCAAAATTGGCCCTAGGCGACGCTTTAAAAGCTGTTACCGCTCATCAGTTTAGTGTTATCAGTGATTGATGGCCCTAAAATGATTGCTCTCACTGCGACGTTCGCGGCGATATGTAACATGTGTAGCGCAATTGTAATTTTTGCGCGCTGGGGCACCGGACGCGTATTTACGTTTATAGGCGCGTAAACGTGGGGGTGGGGGAGTTAAACATTTTGGGGGGGTTTTTCCCCCTTTTTTTATATGTGACTTTTATTTTATTTTACTTTATGTGTTACTTTTATTTTTTTTAAATTTATATTTATTTTTTTGCACTTATTGTTATTGCTATTATATAGGGGGATAACAATCCCC